AATTTTATAGAAATCTTGAGTCAAAGTTAAATTCCACAAAATCAGGTTGGCGAGTCTACCTGTTGCATGAGCTTATTGACTGCTGGGAAGGTTGGTCATCAAAAATAAAATGACATTGTATGTGACATAAGGCCAAAAAAATGTGGCTCATGATCCTCTCCATATTTACTTTAAATTTGTATATAAAATGTCAACTTCACTTAACAAAATTACAAATTTCAAAACAATATTATAGATGTTTTTCAATATAATTCAGTGTATGATGTTTTGAGGTGACAATGACCGGCCAGTGACATGTTGCATCACAGCAAATCTTTGGCTTCTTGCCATAGTAGCTTAGAGGGCATACTGTTATACAGCGATTTACTCTGAAAATTCTCTGTCTGTCTCTGGTTATTAAGTATACACATAAACTAAAATTCAGTCTTTAAATACATGCAAACTACAATCCAAATTGTTAATGAAAGTATATACCTTGTATTATGTGTGTTATAAATTGTTTTTTGTTGAAGGGGATGGAAGATGATTTTGAAGTGGCTTTGGTTAGAATTTGTAGGCAGTTAAATATAACAATAAATACAAGTCAGTGAACTTGACACTTTTTTATGTTTCAATTATTTTATCAATCACCTGTGAAAACTATTTAAAATAAATTGATGAAAAATGTTTTATAATTGCAATGTGCTGTTACAGACTGTCTTCTCACAATCTGAGAATACAAATAGAGTGAGACCACCCAGATGAGAAAAGAACTGTCTGTAAAAGTAACCAGTACGAAATAAGTACCACTTTTGCTTAATATGTGAAAAATGACTTGTTACCTATTATATTATCCTTTTTTGTTCTAGTTACCAATTGATAATTGGGAGCCTGGTGAGCTATGGTTCAGTAAAAGACCAGAAGGTTTTTTATTTGAATACATGAACCCAAGCAGTGTTCAAATGAAATTTATAAAATTATCAACCTCGACAGTAACGCAAAGGTATGCTTTATTCTTTTTGTAGTTTATTGTCTATGTGTGAGTAGTGTCTGGGGTTCCTGATGTCTTCATTGTGTGATTGTTTTCGTATCAGTTTGGTTTAACAAACAATGATGAAATTTACTTTTCATTAGTTATTTCTGATGTCATCATTTTACCTTGTTTGGATAAGGGTTAAACTCATTTTTTCCATCTTCCTAGATTCAACATGTAATTTGTGCAAAAAGATAAACTACCACTGCAGCACGTAGTGTGAAAAGAATAGAGAATACACATTAGGACAGTGGTCCTACAATATTTATTAAAGCAAGTTTAATAAATTTAATATTAATAGGGTCATAATTTTGATATTCTGTCCATGCTCATGGTATCACGGGTTGTATTATCAAGAGCAAGCTTATTTTGAGGATAGTAAAGTTTGCATAAATCTTGCAAAATATATTTTAAATTATTTAAATCTATTATAAATGTGTTTTTTTTTTCCATTTGAAGATTCACCTACCACTGTGTAAAGTCCATAGCTTATCATGATTCCAAAAAATTAAACTACAAGAAAGCCTTAAAGTTTCGTGGAAGCAATGAGAGTGTTCTTTACCATGGATCTGAAGAGTACAATGTTTTATACGATGGCTGTGAGGTAAGGTGCATTGTAAAATACTCACATCTGTGGATTACCTCAGAGCACCTACCAAGTTTCATTGAAATCTGATGAGTGGTTATTGAAATATTATGCATGGATTCCAACCAAAAACTGACCATGTCTGTGGACTATCTGAAGTACCAAGTTGCATTGACTCTGATGAGTGGTTTTTTGAGATACCAAAGGAACAGCTAACAGTTTGCTAATTATGTAAATTTGATCATTAATATGCGTGGGATTTCAACTCAACCCTTAGCTCCTCACATACATGTATGTGGATTATCCCACCTTTGATTAAAAGTTGAAATTTGTTGAGACTGCTAAAAAATTCACGAAACATTATGCAAATTAGGTAAATAATATGCAGATTTCAGCCAGAAACTGATCAGGTCTGTGAATTATTCCACTATTGCTATGTCCTAATATGTCTATTGAAATAACTATTTAAAGTAGTTATACTGAATTAACATTATTTGCATTATATGAATTGGATTTAACAGAAAACCCTATAAAGGAAATTCATTATAATTGGAGTTAATTAAACTCAATTATATCACAACTCTATATAGGTGTTAATTAATTTAATTGAATAAAAGGCAACAAAGTAGAATCGTTTCTCATACATGCTTTGACCTATCACATTCAAACTTAACACACATAGCATGTATGATGACTTAGATAATTATGCACATCAATTATCATTTGATCAAGTATGGCTGACTGACTGGCAGTAGTTTTGGTCCTAAAATTTCTGAATTGTGGAACAGGGCAAGTTCATATGAACTTTGTATCATATTCATGCATATTGGATTACAGGTTTACAATTTTTTTTTTTGAGATTCAAACAAAAATAGCCAAGTAACAGTCATTTTGTTATTATTCATGTAATTTCCTTACTGATTTATTACCTGATTCAGTTGATAGTATATTAATTGTATGGAAACTAATAATAATAAGGTAATAACATAGGTTTTGTTACTTTGGAATTCAATCAAATTTGTCTAATTGTCTGCCTTTTTGTCTGAAAACTAAATTGAAGTTTATAAACATATCCAGAACTGTTGTCTGAGATGAACAGTGAGCTTTCATTCAAACTTTGTATCATGATCATTCATTAGATTTCATCCTAATTTGCATGATAATTAGCTAATTTTTAGCTGGTCCATGACTGTTCCACTGATATCTAAAGAACCGCTTATTAGATTTTGATGAAACTTGGTACATATATGCTCTGGGACAATGCACAGACCTGATTATTTTGGGGTAGAAATACATGCATAACAATTACCTAATTTGCATAATTATTAGTTCATTTTGGGGTTTCCGTTGATACTTCAAGTACTAATCACATTTCAATGAAACTTGGTACATAGATGGTCGGACATTCCGCAGACCTTGTTAGTTTTACATTGCAATATGTAAATATTAATTACCTGATTTGCATAATAATTATTCAGTTTTTAGGTTTCCATCAATATCTCAAAGACTTAATATCTTATTTCAATAAATCTTGGTGCCTGACAATGTGACCCTCTAATTAGTTTTTGTTTTATATACCTAATGTTGAATAATAATTTACTTAACAGCTTTACACCAATTTTCAAGAATTAATCATTAAATTACATTATAATAATATAGACCTATTTAGTTTTGGGTTGAAATATATGCATAATAATTACTTAATTTCCATAATTACAAAATTGTCTACCTTATCTCGAAAATCAATTATTGCATTTCAATTAAACTTATATGAAGTGCCTTGGAAGATTTAAATTGAACTTATGGTAGAGATGCTCTGGCATAAATTAGAGGGAAAACAAGGTATCAAAAGATTCTATTATGTGGATCCTATTGTTTTTATGTGTGCATCTCAAATATGAAATATTAGTTGCCAAGATACTTGTTTGAAAGGTTAAATTTGGAGTTCATTTTAAACATGTCTCCAATACTCTCATCACACAAGATTTCTTTCTAATATCTTTGTTATTACAGTTTCTCTGTGATGGTTTGCATTATTTCTACATACTGGATTTTGGTTGTACTTTTTTAGTGTTTCAACATTACAGTACATTGCCAGCAATGCCTGATCACACCACTGCTGCTAGAAGCAAACAGTATTTCAATTATCTGGTTATGATCTTTGAATAATTTGCTTTTTTTGCAGAATCGAGCGATGAATCCAGAGTACACCATATTTGAGTTACAGACCTCAGACTTTGATCTTCTCCCGATTAAAGATTTTGCACCAATGGACACTGGCAAAACAAATCAAATGTTTGGGTTTCATCTTGGACCACTCTGTTTCAGCTAGAGTTTGATATTGCGTAGATAGTGAAGTCAACCAATGTACTGATTGTAACGCTGAGTCACTGTGTTTCCCAGATTATGTTTTATTTCCCTGTGTATCAATGTTCTGACAAGATAAAAAATACTGTTTTCCCATATGACCTGCTCCACCCACTGCCATCATCATCAAACGTGTATTTGATCAAAACAATGTTTGTTTGTTGTTTGTTTGTTGCATTAAACCCAGTGAATGTCATAAATTTCCTGCCAAAATGTTGGTGCTACATTTTACATATTTGGATGCATTTTTGCTTGTTCCTATTTGGATGCCATCTGAAAACGGGAACTTGCGCATCTGTGTGTCTATCCCCACATGCATCTTGGAAGCGCCTGGACTGATCACATTCAAACTTCTATATATCATACATCTTGTCATGTATTCACACATGACTAGTGGTAAATTTTCAAACTCAAGCATTTCTGCCATTCCAAAAAAATATTTCTGTGTATGGACGGATTTGAACATACTGGCAGCCATTTTGTTTTTAATGAATGAGATCCAGAGCCATGACATGTTTTGGACAGTCATGTTCAAACTTTATAATTCAACATATTTTATAACACACATATGTACATCCCAGGCACATTTTGACTGATTCAAACCTTGCACATACTTAACAGTTAGTTTGATACATATGCAATGATTTTGCCATTGAGTCGAAATGACCAACAGACGGCAATAAAAAAAACACACTCAAAACAGGTATTTTGACATGTATAGAGACAGATTTCAGGCATGTGTTCGATTTGTTTCCAAACTTGATGTAAGGACTAACCATTATGGGTAGTTGATGCACATTGGTCCAATTCATTAATTTTACTCAAAATGGCTGATTGGTGGCCATTTTTTGACAAATTCTATTTCAAACATATATCTTGTACATGCTTTGAGCAATTAACATAAAGGTTATGCATAGAGAGTACATATGTACATATAATAATTCTCTCATCTGAGCAAAGATGGCCAACTGCCTATTATTTTAGTTGATAAAATACACTAAAATCAGGTATTTCAACATTCTTGTGGTATTGTTTGACATCCAACATTATAAACACTAACATATGGCCTCACAAAATCCCTCACTGATTTTACTTTGACAGAATTACTCACAGAATACATTTTTTTTAAATATGGCCTACTATAATTTTTTATGAATTTTATCTTTTAATTTTATAAAATAGATTAAAATACTAGTACAATGAAACTGCTGTTTGTTTTTATATCTTTGTAATTATTTGCATCTTTTTAAAAGATTTACATCTATTTAATCTTTGATACTCGGCTTGTTATTTCTGCGTGTAAATGGAATGTGTGATTTATAATATAATATATTATGAATGTATTATATAGGAAAGTTAATTATGGGGAAAAGAAGGTGTAAACTTAATTTCCATGGAAGCAGGGGTGTGCTTGATTTTCTTTGGGCTGAGATCAATACTTGGTCTGCGGAATAAGCCAATGAGAATGTTGGAGGTTGGAAAAAACCTAGTATTGCCCGTTTATTGTTACCTGAAGGTGCTCTGCTTGAATATAGTGACGACCTTTTAATTCAGTTGATGCAAATAACATAACTGCTTGTGATTCACTTGCTTATCCATAAGTTATTTATCAAATAAAAGGTGGGCATTGTTGCTTGAATATAGCTGTAATCTTTCGTGCGAAAATATTATGTTTTATCAGCTCAGTGGCTGAAAACAGACTGAGTGCATTCAGCAGCTAGCAAGTAAAATTAACAAATTCATCTAGGTGTGAAGCGTAGTAAAGCCATACTTGTCTTGCACCCAATCAATAGAATATCAACTCTTAGGCATTATTGGTTCATGTCCCTAAATCAGAAATAAAACACCTTTACATTGCAGAAGCTGGTAGACTGAGGTGTTCAATTGCGCCTCAAACAGGCAACTAAGGATTAGTTACAATTATTTCCATCGATATGACGAGCTACTGCTGCACAATGTGTTGATGTGAT